ATAATTAGGATAGCAGTGGAAAATTGTGGGCTAAAACGGAGAACAGCCTGAGGGCAGGCTCTGCAGATGGCAGTGAGCATGGCTGAAATCATCAACATTTTGGCCTTGTTGGGAGTTGGCAGGTTTAAGGTATGAAATAAATATCTTTGCTCACAGAGACTTAAGGCACCCCATTTTGCCCTTTAATTTTCTCTATGGGCAAATCAGCCTCTAGGGATGCTCGGGAGGAGCATAAAAATGGGTACTGGCAGCAACTGCATGTGGTGTACACTGTTGCTCATCTCTGGGTTAAAACACAACAGTTGTGAAGCTGTTTTCCCCCAGTCATAATGCTTTTAGACGGTCACTTCCCTTTACAATTCAACGTCTGAACAAATCGAGGGAGCTACAGGTCACAGGAGTCTTCCTCAGATGGGGGAGAGCGACTATGAGCAAATTCCAGAACCGCTTATGTGTGAAGCTTAACTTTCTTTGTGATTTGGCTTCTCTTTCAGGTTTATACAGAAACTGCTTTTGAAGGCATGCTGGACTGGCTTCAAAAGATAAGCCAGACCAGGCCAGGCCCAACAGAGGTTGTGGTGGGGAAAAGAGCGGCAAGAAATGATAGCAGTGTTGGGTAGCTACGTGCAACCAAGTAGATTGATTTCAAGCTTCTTTTCCCCATGGCCTACCCATCCACAGATCTCTCTGCACTGGCTTAACTGCCCCTCCTGCCCTCAGGCTCAACTTCTTGTTATCAGGCTTATGGAAACAGAGCAGTGCCTGCTGTTCAATGTAACCACATCCTGGAACACCGTTTCTCAATCTCAGCAAATTTGCTGGCTGGGGAATTTTGGGAGTTGAAGTCCAGGTGTCTTAAGGTTGCTGAGATTGAGAAACAAGAGCCCAATTTAGACTGAGAGTAGCATCTCCTATGGCTTCATTTATCCTTCCTTCCCATGTGACTCAGGTTGAGGAAAAGCACAATCTACTATCTGAAAACGATATTTCCTCAGTCACCTCACAAAGTAAGCAAAGAAATGGAATCTTTGCTTTGCCTGACCTTTTCTTGATTTAAATAACTGGGCCTCTTATCTGAAACATGTCAACATTTACATTAGGTCATGCTAATCTCAAAAGATCTTCCAAGTTTAGCTGATGATTTCCATCTAAGTATATGTACTTGGAAGAAAATAGGTATTTAAGCTTCAGTAAACCTAAGCCCTCCAAACTACTTGACATGTAAGCTTAATTCTTGATGGTCCCCAGAGGGAGATCCAATGGCCTCTATAAAGTGAAAAGGGAGCACTGTTTGGACAACCCAAGTGATTCAAAGCCAAGGTTTTCCAACCTCTTGCTGTTTGATTGACATTCTGTGTTCCAGTTAAATGTACAGGGCTTCTACTGTAGAGCTTGAAGGTTCAAAGAACCTTCCCCTCTCCGTACCAAGGTGCTCCATCCAAATAGCAGCTTATTTTACTCTAATTCTTTCTTAGTGTTATGTACCAAGCACATCAGATAGTAGGTAATACTTTGGAATGGGGAAAGAGGGGTGAAATAGATGCTGTAAATTTGCTTCCCTAACTTCTGAATTCCAAAAGCTACCAAACCAAGATCAAGAAAAAATCTCCATGGTGCATATGCCTCTGCTTTTTCAGGGGAAAAAAAAATCTTTAGAGCAATCTTCTCTAAGATGGCACCTTCTTGCATAAAGCTAAAATCTCCATGGTGCATATGCCTCTGCTTTGTCAGGGGAAAAAAAAAAAAAATCTTTAGAGCAATCTTCTCTAAGATGGCACCTTCTTGCATAAAGCTATTCTTGAACATCCCAATATTCTCGTGCTAAATCCCAACGAAGCATCTTTAAAATTCTCTCTCTCTCTCTCTCTCATTCACACAAAATCAAAGGAACAGGACCCTCTTTTCAACTTTTCTTCTTTCTGCTCTACAACATTTCTTTGGCATCCTGCTCTGGCCCAACTTGGAAAGTCAAGAAAAAAGTTACAAGTGCCTGAAATCCTATAGAAGCTTGACATTATTTAAAAAGGCAAAACCTGCTATGACGCCAAAAAGAAAAAAAAATTACACACACACACGCACACACCCACAGGTACCATGCAAAAGATCTATTATTATGGCAAGATGAGAAGAAAAGTGGGAATCCCTGGTTCCTCCAAGATCACAGGGCTTTGATCTGTTTC